CTTTTTTTTGAAATTTAATGCTTGTCAATTATGAAGAGAGAGAGAGAGAGAGAGAGAGAGAGAGAAAATAAAATGATGCAATGATGTTCTTGTTCCGAATCAAACAAACAAAACGAAAAAAGTTTGAATAAACAAATTCTTTCTTTCATCTTGATGTTATCATATTGGTTTTTTTTCTAAGGATTCTTCTTTAAGGATTCTTTGATATTTGATATTCTGTGCATGTGTAAGGTAGACAAATCAAAATGAAAGAATTCAGAATGAAAGAAATGAGAAAAATTACATGTCAATAAAATCAAAATTCAATCAATTTCGATGATTATGATATGAATGTGTTAGTTTTTTTTGAAAAAAGAAGATTCTCGATATTTTTTTCCCAAAAAAAAGTGAATCTCTAAAAGTTTCAATTATAATTGATGAATTGTGAATGATGAATGATGTATTGTCGTCATTGATGACATTGAAACAACAAAAAAAAAAAAACATAAAAAAATGTTTGTTTGTTTGGCCGAATTTTGTAAATTTCATTTACAAAATTTCATCATTTTTCGAGATTCTAGTTAATTCATTAGGTCATTTTACAATTTTTATAATGATTATTTCCATTTAAATTTGCAAAATATAACGGAGAGCCAGGGAGAGAGAATTTAATTCTATTCATATACAAAAGCTACAATAGTTTGATTTCGAATGAATCCAAACATAGAGAGAATCCCTTTGTATTCATTGGAAATACTAATAAACATCTGCAATACAATAATAATAATATTGAATGATTTTACCCTTTGTTGTCTATAATTTGAATGAAAAACTTTTTTGTTTGTTTGTTTGTTTGTTGAAATAATTAAAAGAAATCATATGACTGATTTTCAAAACATTTTTTTTTGTTTTGTTTGAAATTCAATGATGATGATATATTGAATTCTTGAGAAAGAANATTTTACAATTTTTATAAAGATTATTTCCATTTAAATTTACAAAAAAAAAACAGAGAGAGAGAGAGAGAGAGAGAGAGAGAGAGAGAGCCAGAATTTAATTCTATTCATATACAATAAAGCTACAATAGTTTGATTTCAAATGAATCCAAATAGAGAATTCACAGAGAGAATCCTTTTTGTATTCATTGGAAATACTAATAAACATCTGCAATACAATAATAATAATAATATTGAATGATTTTACCCTTTTTGTCTATAATTTGAATGAAAAAAACTTTTTTTTGTTTGTTTGTTTGTTTGTTTATAGAAATAATTAAAAGAAATCATATGACTGATTTGTTTTTTTTTCTACAAAACATTTGAAATTCAATGATGATGATATATTGAATACTGCATGATTCTTGAGAGAGAAAGAAATAGAGAAAAACTGAACGAACGAATTTGGATAGAGAAATACACACACACAAACACAGGGTTGACAGTTTCAGCTCAGGATTATCATAATTTTACTTTATCATCTTTAGTTTATGGTAAGATTATTACTTGATGTAGATTTCTTTTTGGTATTTTTTTTCCTGATGAACATTTACACTCATAAGTAATGTAATTTATTATTTTTTCAAATCATGTAATAACATGATTACGAAAGTAGTTGATGAAGAAGATGATAAATTGCAATTTTGTTTTTTTTTTGCTGAAAAAAACAAAAATTAAAGCAAGAAAATCCATTAATGTAAATCATTCGTTTGAAAGAAAAAAATAAATAAACCTGGTTAGGCATGTAATATAAGCAAACAAACAAATCAAGCACATCAAGAATATTCTTCTTGAAACAAGGTATTTTCACTGATGATGATAATGATGTTTGAGAATAATGATTAATAATATTGATTGAAAATTAAAACAAAATGGATGTTTTTGGGTTTTTTTCTTTTTCTCCATATTTCGTCGTTTCGAAACTATTCATCCAGAAAATNGAAGGGGGGAGTCAAAATATATTAAATTTCATTTTTATTTATCGGTTTCCTTGGTTTCTGTTCGCTACTTATAGACCAAAAAAAAAACTACAAACTTGAAATATTGATGATTGTCGACAACAGCAGCAGAAAAATTGATTACCCGGCAGAATTTATTTGATTTTTTTTTTTGGTAAACGAATAATGAGAGAGAAAAGAGAAACATAAAAGTAATTTATTATTGTAAAAAATGTTTATAATTGATTTGATTTGATCGATTGATAATTAATGATGGAAGTTTTTTTTTCATTATTTGAAGAGAGGTTTTTTCTGTTTGAACAATGTCGGTAGAAGAACCAGAATATTCTTCTGGTTCAATGGTTGATGATTACGAAACAAAGGGAGAGAAAAATCTTTGATTTTGATTTGATGAAAAAATACCTGCGAACAAAGAATTTAATCCAAGGTGATAGAAACCTGGTTGAAAAAAAGAATTCAAACCGGAATTATATACGAAAATATGGAATAAATTAATTGACAATGGAAAAAGTGAAACTTTTTTTTTCACTGGAAAAATTTCATCATTAAAGTGAAAAATGAATTTTTTTTTTTCATTGGAAAATTTCAATCATCAGGTTCCTATTCCTGGCATAATACAATGAGAATAAATTGAATTGGAAATGTAAATGTATTTTTTTTTCATTTATCCATTTTCATTTATCAATAAAACATTCAGCAACAATGAAAAAAGAAAAAAAAATTCATATAAACTGATTATCGAAAATTGGCAAAGAATTTTATGAATGTTTAAACAAAACGAATAAAAAAAAAGAAGAAGAAGATAAATTCTGCTATCAAACAAACAG